ATCTATTTATCTATCTATCTATCTATAAAGAGAAAAATAAGTTGATAGAAAGTTCAAAGGATGTATGCGTTAGTATATGTGTGTGAGAATGTGTGTGAGTATACTTTTGTATGTTTGTAATATCGATGATAAACAAAGGCTAAATAGGTTCATCAGTGTGCATTTAAGGGGAGAATTAACCAGTTTCCACATGTAGCAAAGTCTTCTATCCTGAAATAACACTGAGGACTGAAAGAATGAACAAATTAACAAGGGCTCTTGAGATGTTAACGATTATGACAAAATTGAGAAGGATATGCAATGTAATGTGCCCTGACCTGGCATCTCGTCTGTAATCTCTCTCTCACACACGTGCTGTCGCCTCCTTCTGTCTTTTTTTTTACAAATACTTTCACAGTAACTACTCCGATGAGCTGCTTTCGCTGGTTCCCAGACTTCATGAATTTAAGCGTTCTACTAGGTTGGCATATCGCTCTCACCATTTAACTGTAGAAACTGTTAAATGTAGCCGTCTCCTCTACTCCCATAGCTTCATGTCTCGCACCTATCGCCTGTGGAACTCCCTCCCCTTTTCTGTATTGATAGCTATAATCAACTATTCAAATGTAATGTCAATCGACGTCTCCAGATGCCTTGATCTATCTCCTATCCTTCCCTTCATCCTTTCCTCTATCACTAATATTTGCTCTCACTTCAACTCTCTGTAGTAACCCCTTGCATGATAGTGGCTTCACGACTCGCTTGCAGTGAAACACTTAAAAAAATATAGTGCTTTAATTGGAAAGAATTTCCGGAATAACGCGTAATCGGCGTAATGTATTACGTTTATTAAAAGATCTATGATATATTGTTTGAATTTTCACTCACAAATGCACCTCTGCATCCGAAAAAAAAGATCTTATTAAACACACACACACACACACACACACACACACACACACATATACATATATATATATATATATATATATATATATATATATATATATATATATATATATATATATATTTGCATGTATTATTCATCACATGATTATATTTATATCATCAGCTACTAAGACAGTTCAGTCAGTTGGCTTTTCTGGTGAAGAGTGTGGCTAGACACCCATTAGGATAAAAACAACAGCAACAACAAAAAAGAACAAAAACAACAACAAAAAAAAACACGAGTACATATGCCTTATGTAGGGTCAACGACCATCTGGCTTAAAGGGCTAAACTGGACTCCATAGCTATTTATGCAATCCTTGAGGTGGTAGCATAGAATTAGAGTGGAGTGCTTCCTAAACTGAGAATTTTCCCGATGAAATCAACTGCCACCTCTTAGCAAACTGCGATTCTTGTCGTTAGAGGACATAAGCCGTGGTTTCACTTCAAGAGGGATGGCTGCCACCAGGTTTACCTACCCAAGAATCTCCATGCATGAATACCTCTATGGCTTTCAAACCAAGTTTACAGAAGGAACTGGCCAGGTGCCCAGTTTCGCAGCGGCTCATGAGTCTGATGATGTTGATCATGATTTAGTTTTCAATGTACCTCACTTTTTTGTCAATGTTAGTGATGAATAGCCATAATAGATGAATATTATATAGTGAAAATTTAAACTAAAAATATCAAATATGTGTCAGATTACGCATCTATCTATCTATCTATCTAGTAATTTTTAATTTATGTAGTTTTTATTAAGACGGCACTAAAGGATTTCTCCAATACAAGATAATGTATCTGCACGTGTGACCTCGACTTGAATCACTGTTCATTTTAAAGAACGGTATATATTATGCTTTAAAATACAAGAAAACATTAATGCATTTATTTTTCATCATGTCTTTGAATTTATAATTTTAAATCATATTTTGATGTGTTAGTAGTCTCATTTGCAGGCCACCTTAAACAATTTCAATGTCGCTTCCGCTGTATGTAAAGTGACTTGTCTGCTTCTTATTGAAGTAATTTCCATTTATTCCTAGTGTTGAAGATTTAATGTAGTTTTTCATGATTTTACCCCAAGTTTTTGTGTTCCTTTTATTTTACAGCTTATGCTTTAAAGCAGCATTGTGTTGTCTACAAATATTTGCCTTATTTTCATAAGAATATAATTATGAGAGCAATATTGATTAATATAAGTTTTTTTATGCCACTACTGTTTGATAAATGACATGTTATTCGGCATGGAAGGACTGTAGTGATATGGCCAATGTATATGTTAATATTATTTTATTAAGGTTTGAATTATAATCTAATGTGAACAGTTAGACTGGGAATAGAAGAATAACGGTTGGAGGTTTCATTGAAGACAGTAACACAAAGAATGGTATATATATATATATATGCTCACAATAGTAACAGACTATTACAAATGCAAAAGTATGTAAACCTATGGTTTATAGATTATGCAAAATCGTTTGAGAAAGAATGTTACAAAAAACTGTTTGAACGGCTAGTAAGCTTGAATTATTTGGGAAAGATATTAGATTAATCCATATCCTATACTCCGAGCAAATTTAATAAATACACGTAAATACAATATATATATTGTCATATATATATATATATATATATATATATATATATATATATATATATATTGTCATATATATATATATATATATATATATATATATATATATATATATATGAAAAAGAGAAAATATATTTTCTGTAATTATACACTTACGGAAAGTACCACTAGTCGTTCATTTTGCTGACCTGAGTTACATGCACTACTGATGTAGATTTTGACCCTTTGAACTAAAGCTTGTCCTTTTGATGAAGCCGGATCAGAGGCGAAACATATCAAAAATGTTGTTAAACGTTATTATATATATATATATATATATATATATATATATATATATATATATATATATATAACGAAATATAGTCTTAACATATGCTATATTTATGGGATAAAGTGCTCAATATCCGAAATAGAGCGTGTGTAAATATAAAAGTGAACTTAGTAGTCAACACTTAGAGGCGACAGTCTGTTTCATGCTAGACGCAATCGTCAGGCCACACGCACACACACACATGCACACACACACACACACACACATATATATATATATATATATATATAAATTTTTCATACTATGCAACAGAAAAATTGTCCTATAAGTGAGATTATGCTATGAAGCGTTGTATCTTATAAATGATTAATGTTATCTTACTGAAATTATCCGAGGTTTTTATAACACTATTGGACTCTACTTTTGAGTAATAATAATGTATAATTACTCTCAAAACTTAACAGAAGAATCGTGATGAAATCGATTATAAACAAAAATCGTCATTAATTAATAAGGCTAAAAGATTTAAAGCTCATGATTATTGAAATAAAGTTCATATATATATATATATATATATATATATATATATATATATATATATATATATATATGAAAAAAAAATACACGGAAAAACAAACAAAAAATCCCAATATGCAACTACGCCACCTCAATGTTAATACAATGCCAACGTCGGACGCTTCGGTCCAACGAACCATCCTCAGGACACACTCACAAAACACGACCAAGATTAGACCATATTCAATTCAACATGAAAAAGACGACGGACACAGATAGTTGCATATTGGGATTTTGTTTGTTTTCCGTGTATTTTCTTCATACAGTCGGATCTGTGTCCATATATTTGCTTATATATATATATATATATATATATATATATATATATATATAAGAAGATAATTTTCCAACTTTATTCAAGATGAGCTTCTTCTCTCTAACCTTCTAACTTTCTGCCCTGGTGTGAAAGGTGCCTCCACAGGTTTCACATACGATTTTAGTTTCAAATTGTTTTTCATTGCTGTTTGAACTGTCACAGCTGAAACTATTCTCTCACGTCCTAATCGTCTTATAGACTGAGTTGGGTCCATTCTAATTGATCGCTTTTGCTCTAACTTGAAATGATGATCCCTCTTCCTGTTGTGAACTCCTGATCAAGTTTTCCTTTCTACAGTTCCACTTTTTAAAAAAATAATCAGATTTTAAAAATAGACATTCATTGTGTGATATATTCAATAATATATGTTTACATATTTATCTATCTTTCTCTCTCTATCTATCTATCTATCTATCTATCTATCTATATATATATATATATATATATATATATGTGTGTGTGTGTGTGTGTGTGTGTGTTTGTGTTTGTGTTTGTAACAAATTTGCATAAATATATATATGCATAAGCTCATACAAAAATTTAATTCTTATTTAAATTATAAAACTTCACATTTTGGGGAAGTTTTCTTGGTCAACTCGACAATTTTTTGCAAAATTGAAAGTTGGCGTGAAGATTGATACAAACATTAAACAGATATTCGCACTCGGTGCTGACGACAGTGTCAATCTGATATATATATATATATATATATATATATATATATATATATATATATATATATAATATAATATAATTATACTCGTCTAGAAAAACCTTAGGGTTTTGGCTTGTAAATGAACAAACCAATACCCAAGGAAAAATAAGGGACAAAAAGGAGAAAAAGAACTAAGAACATGCAATTGAGACGAAAACATTCGCCCAGAAGTTCAGAGTAAAAAAAAAAAAAAACAAAAAAAAAAACTCCAAAACGAGTAAAGCAAAAGTAACTAAGTAAAATGCTCAATACACTAAGAAGAGCAAATCTAACTATGAACCTAAAGAGCCAGGCAAACCTACCTAGGTTTCACCTACGCCGATTGTCAGGTTATTTAAGGCCAGAATATTTTTAGATTGTAAGAATTTATTTTCGGATTCAATAATGGTTTAGCTTTGCAAGTCTTGTTATTTAGTCCATAGCCCCGGCGGAGAAGAAGTGGATAAATTCCTTTCCCAATGGTAATTGCTCCTAAGTACCTATGTAAGAAATGTAACAGGAACTAAAACTCGGCTGTCCGATAAATCTCGGATAAATCTTAGCAAATCCGAGCTATTATCCGTTACACTGCTCGCACATCCAATCATGCTACACCTTGGGGATACAGCACCTGGTATTCACAAGCGGTCCCTAGATACTGACCAGGCTCGATGTTGCTTAACTTCGATGATCGTACGGGAACTGGTTTTTCAATAGGATGTGGCCATAAGACAATTGGAGAATGTGTTTTTTAAATAATGTTACTGAATACAATGAATGTCTTTTTTTTTAACTGTGTTTATATGTTCCTCATGAATTATATCTGGGGGAATATATTCCTTGCATTTCCAGTAAGTTTATACAAGATTCTTGCTAACCAAATGCAATAAAGGTCGCCTAATTTCTAATAACCTATATTTTGTGCATTCTGTTTTCTTCTTAAATCTCACTCATGTAGAATATATATAATTTCCAGTATGACTAATTCTTTCATTTACACTCCCGGCACAGGGTTTATTTTCTACGGCACGCCTATTACGTTTAAAATGATTTTCTCATCGGCATGATTCGAAACGAATCTAGAATATGTTACCAAATAATACGAGTTTGTGTATTTCTAGATGTTTATATTTAAGTGTCCTGCTGATGTTGTAGATTGCGAGGTAATTCGAATGACTGAAGTAAATATTAAAAAAAATCCTAGTAACACATCTATTTGGAACGGATGTTAGAAAAATCCAAAATATATACTATGGGCAAACCGCCTGTATACGGATAGAAAATGAATTAAGAAAGGGGCGTAAGACAAGGATGTGTCTTCTCTCCAGATATATTCCACCTTTACAATGAGGCTGTCCTAGGGATTTATTATCGGTGGACGTAGTTTTAAAAATATAATATACGCAGATAGCAATTTCTTGATGGCTGACACAGAAAGAAATCTGCAGGACCTTCTAGAGAGTATAATAAAAGAAAGTGAGGAAAAAAAGGGACATACTGTCAACCATGCAAGAAGACAAAAAGTATGGTCGCCAGCAAGAGGAAAAACCCAAGCTGCAATTTACACATTGGACATGTCAACGCCAAGCAGGTACAGATATTTAAATATCTGAGAAGTGTTTTAACAGAAAATGGAAAACGCGACAGCGAAATCCGAAAACACAATGGACTAGCGAAAGAGGCATTTCAAGAGTTATGCAAGATGCTGAGAAACAGAAATATTTCGTTAGAAGCACAAGGAGGTGTGCTGGATTACTATGTGATATCCATCCTCTTATATGATAGTGAATTCTGGACAATCTCTCCAAAAATGGTGAGGAAAATGAATACAACAGAAATGTAGTTCTACAGGAGGATACTGAGAATTTCATGAACAGAGTAATTAAAGAAGTCTTAAGGAAAATGGTAACGGGAAGAACACTTACGCTCAGAATCATGAATAGACAGCTAAAATCTCTTGTACACATCAAGAGGAAGGAGGACTTAGAAAACTTCACCCGCATAGGGCATATTAAGAGCAAAACAAACGGGAAAACAGTGAGTCACATACCTGACGAGTTTCTTTGAATGGGTGGCGAAACAAGAGCATTAGCAAAGCGAGAACAATGCCAAGAGCCACACGAGACAGGAAGTTGTGGAAAGCCATCATCTCCCGTAACCGGAAGGGACGAGGCACATAGAAAAAGAAGATAATAACAGATTCAGATTGTTCATATTAGTTTCCGCATATATCACTGCGTATCTCAATTGTTGAATTCAGTTATGGACACCATTTTTTAGGCAAAGGTGTTCAGAGCTTATATCAGTTTTCACATACATATGTTGCATAAATCTGTGTACATACGTACATATGTGCTAGCAAACATTTGTGTACAAACGTTCAATGAAGTTAGTTTTCATAACCCCAAGATGCAAAATACATCCAGAGCCTTTTTTTGTCGTGTGTTTTGATAATTGATTAAAAAACTTGTATGTAAAGTAGGCGTTTAATTTGTTGTCCTTGCGGCCTTGTGGGTGGGGAATTATTCTCAACCCTGAAATCCTTATCGAAAAAGTCGAAACGTCGTTAGTTTCATACTGTCCCAGCTATCACTACGACAGATGCGCGGACGAGTTACATTCCTTATCCACCAACTCAGAGATTCACAGCTTGAACTCACCATGAAATATTCACAGTGGCAAACCATCCAAATTCCCTTTATGTTCCTTTGGTTAGGAGCAAGTTCTACTCAGACGGTGCCTCCCCCACCCCCAGAATAAACTCCCGTGAACATGCTTCCCTGACAACTGGAGTTCAAGGTCAATCGACATATATCTTATATTCATTTCTTACACCGTCATTCCACATCTCTTACAATCTCAGTAACTCTCTACTCTGAGAAGCACTTTAGTATCGTGTTAGGGGAAAAAAGTCATCAGTCATTTTGTAGCTGTGTCTATAAAAGTCGATATAGAAAAATGTATTAATAAAGTGTTTAAGAGCAGTTCTGAGTTAGTCGGCATCCATATTGTGCCACACCTCGTCTTAGTGGGGAGACAGAGTAAATACTTAGTCGGCATTCATATATGAAAGTCGAGTTGGGCACCTCGACGTGGTGTAATGGTTAGAAAGCTTGTCTTGCTAGATCAATTACGACTAAGTAGCGATCCTCACTGGGTGCCCCATACTTTCGGCCTTGTGCCACATCTAATCCGGGCTTAGAAAATCACTATATGAAAGGCGAGTGCGCGTAAGTCGATAAAATAGTGTGGTTTACCATTGCAAATGAATAAATTCGATCCTCACTGGGTTCAGCATACTTGTGGTGTTGTTCAAAGCTAAGTTAATATTAGTAAATAATTCCTGTATATATATATATATATATATATATATATATATATATATATATATATATATTTGTGTGTTTATGTAATGTCGATTTGCTGTATATATCTACTTATAAGCAGAACAAAATGTTGGAAATACATCGATATTATGCATATTAAAAGAATGGAAAGTTATCGGTAAATATAACTGAACCCTGTCAAAGATGAAAATAAGGGTAACAGTTTTAAATACGGCTATCTGAGTTCGTAAGATAGATATGTGAGATGGTATGTAGGCGCATGTATCAAGGTTATTCCCCTTTAACCAATTTTGAAACTGAATAATACACAATGAAAAGAAGGAAAATGCACTCCTTATAAAATATCTTGGTTAATAATCTAGTATATTTTTTTATTTTATACGCTGTACATATGATACCCTTTCAGATGGTATACAAGTCAGCCATTACATAATAAAATTGGTATTAATCCGACTGATGGTGATAAAATGTTTCCCATATATTTATAGTTTCAGCTTATAAAATCTATCCTGGTTAGAAATACTGATAATAACTAGTTTTGTGGATATGACGTTTTATGAAAACAAATTAAGTGTAAGCAAATTTTATTTATTGATAAATATCGGTCCAAGAAACGTATTTTGGTAACACAATATACCATGTGCCAGAATAAATTATTTTTTTAAAATTTTATATCTTAATGCGGGCTCCTTGATATTCTTTAACCTGCATGTCTTACATTCAATGATATTTTTTACTTTTGTACTGTTTAGATTTCAGCGTTAAACTTGAAGGCGCTTTGTGACATCCTAGTGATTTTCTTTGCTTAAAATTATTTTAACTTCATATACATCTATATTAGATATAGTCTACAAGAGTCTTTGTTACAAAGTCTGCTTTCTTTCGTATCTAATCCGTCCAGCGGTAGTCGTTAATCTCGCATGCCGAGAGCTACTCTACCCTTATTGCTTAGGCAGTTATATAATCTATGCCTTACCTATACTAATTAGGCAGACATTTACATATCATTACAGTCTTATTCGAGTATTAACTAGAAAAGCTGGGGAGCGTTAATTTGGTCCGATTCAAACGTTTTTGGAAAGGTTGGAAATAGATATGGAAAAGGTAAAGAAGCATTGTATTCTTGCTTGTCTGACACCCATACAACACCACACAGTAACACTATGTGCCATGTATTTGGTGATCATTATATATATATATATATATATATATATATATATATATATATATATATATATATATATATATTTGATAAAAATATAATTTTATGGTATGGGTAAATGTACCCCAATATCAGAAAATATGTAAATATAAAAAGTGGACGATAAGGTCAACTCCAAGCAGCGGCTGTCTGAACGCAATCTTTAGACCATCTATCTATCTATCTATCTATCTATCTATCTATCTATCTATCTATCTCAGACTGTTCATTACATATCAATCTATATCAGACTGTTCATTCTCTCTCTCTCTCTCTCTCTCTCTCTCTCTCTCTCAATCTATATATATATATATATATATATATATATATATATATATATATATATATATATATATACATTACCCAGGCTGTTCATTATCTATCTATCTATCTATCTATCTATCTATCTATCTATCTATCTATCTATCTATCTCTCTCTCTCTCTCTATATATATATATATATATATATATATATATATATATATATATAACTTAATGACGCCATACATATCATACAAAAAGGCTACATTATTTGTGATCTAGGCAAAAATCTAACATTCATGGCCTGGTAGGTTGGTGTACTAAACATTCCTCCATAGCTTTGAGCCACTGGTATATGAAGGGTTATGGATCAATGAGGTTAAGCAAAATTGAGCCCAGTCAGCACATACATTGGTGACCACTTAGGTATACCAGATTCTCTAGTTTGGACGTGCGAATGGTGTAAATAATTGGAACTCAGAGAAGTGTTACATTTCCAGCCAAATTCGTTATATTCACTTACGCGCAAATAAATTCCACTTTACTCCCCCAGCTATGGACTAATTAGTAAAACTTGCATCAATAAATCGTTATCTCCCCCACCGCCCAAATCTTACAATCCAAAAATATTTCCAGACTATAATTAACCTGAAAAAGTTATATAAGCTGTAAAAAGGAAATCAATCAATGACTGATATATATATATATATATATATATATATATATATATATATATATATATATATATATCAATCAATCAATGACTGATATATATATATATATATATATATATATATATATATATGTATGTATGTTGTAGCACTAACTCAGAAGAAAGTGTAACTAAGGTTTGTTGATCATAGTTTTGCTAGTGCAACACTTTTGTTTTATTTACGAATAAATCTAATGGTCACAGAA